TATTAAAAAATATTATTATTGTAATACGAATATATATATATATACAGAGATATTAATTATAATGGAATATATAATTTGCAATATAACACCTTGTTTATCATGTCATTTATACATGAAAGGCTCCATATTTTTATTTTACAATCTTCTTTCACATTTTTATATCTGTAAAATTGATATCATATTATATGTAATTTATTGCATGTAATATATTCTAATATAACTGTATCATTGCCCCACTTGTAAAATTCGAAAGATTGGCCAGGGGAAACCAGACGGTTACATTCCAGCTCAGCTTTTTTTTTTTTTTTTTGCATATCGATGGTAACTTAAATTCTTGGCGCAGGAGCTTTACCGATATACTGCGAGATAAGTTATTTATTTACGAGTGTTGCTAAATCGAACGCTAAATCAATCTAAATGAATTTTAGCGCCATTAATTTTAATGAACTGGGAAATTATCCGCGCTGTATGTTGCGTTAATTGTAACAGGAATGGTCAGTTACTGGAAGACATTTTTTTTTATACTTGATCTTCGATACTCGTTCGTAATTTTACGCGAACTTATCTGATCTTAAGGTATTCGATAAATTTTCATTTATGTAATACTGCTGATACCGTAAATCATAAAGATAATATTTTTCGCATAAATCACATTATCTGGTAATATAAGAGTTAAATGTTTGAAAAGTTTAATCAATGTGTGGAGTAAAACGCCACCTTTCCTTATACACTTTAAAATGTGATGTTTGGAGTTACGAAATACTGGCATTTTTTTCATATATGTATCTAAAACGGATAACTTCTGCGCAAAAAAATTGTAAAACAAATCAGTTTAATACTAATATCTCACGAATCTTAAAGCTTATTACTCTATTATATAAGACAAATATATAATTATCGAATTGGATTATGGACGAGAACTCCTTGCCTCCGTCGTGTCGAGTTATAGAGAGGTACTTGTCGTCCGTACTGAAATTTCTCGTTGCCAAAAAATTTCCATATCGAAAAGACGTCGTTACCGTATGTTACTGTAACAAATATCCAACTTGAATACGAGCGATTTGAGAAATATTTCAACTGATAACATTAGACAGATAGTTTCATGTTTTTAGTTTTAATTGAAAGTAAGTATCGAGTTAAAAACATTATTCTATTTTTTAATCAGATCACGTAACTTCTAAATAAAATATTGATTGTTACCTTTTTAATAATGGAAAATATAATTTAAAATTTTCTTTTTTTATAAAATTTATTTCCGTTTTTATTCCCTCGAAATGTTAAGATTAAACACTTTTTGAAAACTTAAAAAAAATCGGCAATTTATTGAAACGCGCTATAATCATCTCGCGGAGTCTTTTATATTTAAATTACTCTTAAAATAAAGAAAGAAAAATTTACATACTCAGCTCTTCGTGCGTGGCGTTGAATTTCAAAAAGGATATATGCGCCTCTTTACTTGCTAGTGGCAGTGCATCTACGATTCGATCGAAATTGGCGAGCACCGGAACTATCGTGTATCGTTTGTCCCCTACCCTGTAGGTCCAATGTACGACCAACTCACCGCTTAACTTGTTCCAAGCGAAGTTTTCCACGCGAAGTCCGTGAGATTTGACGCAGACATTGGCTGTCATTACCTTCTTGTTGATGTCCCATAACGACAACGATCCGTTATGGCCGTCGCCTATACAAAGCGTGTTAGACACCTGCGGATGCCAGGCGATCGCCTATCAAGAGAGAGTACAGAATATTTTATACTCTCACACACAAAATCATAAATAATGTCAATCTCTCTAATATGATTGCAAACAAGAGAGAGATAGATTGTCGCATAAATCGAGCTTCTCGATTCCCCGTATTTCACGAATCGTTATCCGAAAAATCATTGTCTTGAATCAATGAATTATAATCGCTCAATCCTCGTTTATTATACTGATTAATAATAGATTCGCGTGAGATAAAATTTCCGCCAAGATATTTGTAATGCCATTTATAATATACTAAGAGAGTGTTGTGAATGAAAGATTGATTCTTTATCATGCAAAATATACAGGGTATCCTACATGGATAGGGTAGAGATCGATACTACCGTATTCCTTATTAAAAAAGTAAATTTTTTTTTTTTAGCATCCGAAAATACATTTTTTTCGATATATCTTACTTTTTAATATGTTGATACAGTGCACACACACACATACACACACATTTGATATTTCTTGATTTTTTATGTGGAAGTTTTGGCTATTCTGTTATAATTAAGTCTTATATTTACATTACATATAGGGATTAACGTCTATTTGATTTATATAATAGCCAGAAAAGACATTTTAGTTCCATAAAGAAATTTGTGTTATTTCAACTCAAATAAAATTTTTTCAAGTATTTTATTTTATAAAAACTTAAATATTAATTAAATCATAGAATTACCAACATTTTTACACGAAGAATCAAGAAATTGCAAACGCGTTGTATTGGCATATTAAAAAATGCAATATCTTGAAAACAATTTATCGCGACCTACCTTTATGTTTTTGGGAAATTTGATGTGGTAACAAGGGGTTAAATCTGGCCAGATAAACACTCCGACGGTTTTGTCCTGCGCGGTCGATACAAGGTATTTGAAATTTGGCGAAAAATTTAGGGTCGAGATGCGAGCCATGTGTCTCATGTTGGTACTAATCAACTTGCCCGTATCGGATGCGTATATTGATATCGAGCCCAGACATCCACTGCAGGGAAGGGGGATAATGTTATTATTCTTCATTTATTACTTTTCATTATTCATAATTATAATTATTCTTTATTTTAACGTAGTCTTTCTCGGTTATCTATACTCAGGTTGTCCAGTCAAATTCGTTATTTTAATTAATTGATGTAATCAATACTTTTGACGACGAATATTAATACAATTATAAAGTAGTTTAGTGATAAAAGAGATAAAATACGGAAAGCGAAAGACTAAAGTTTGGAATTCCACCATTTGCGATTAATACATTTTCAAGTATTGGTAAGATCATTAATCGTACTCTCTTAAATAGAATCAGTGTGTCATCATTGAGAAAAACAGTGAATAGTTACTAATGGTTATAAGTATATAGTATAAGTATATACTATAGCAATGTAAATCAGTGAAAATTCACCGAAAGAATCAATTAGTGGTAGTGGCTATTTAAACCAGTGTTATGTTAAAAAAATCATCTTATATTATTTCAAGTATTGGTAAGATCATTAATCGTTAATCTCTCTTAAATAGAATCAGTGTGTCATCATTGAGAAAAACAGTGAATAGTTACTAATGGTTATAAGTATATAGTATAAGTATATACTATAGCAATGTAAATCAGTGAAAATTCACCGAAAGAATCAATTAGTGGTAGTGGCTATTTAAACCAGTGTTATGTTAAAAAAATCATCTTATATTATTGTATAATATTTTATATGAGATAAATTTATAGCAATATATATATTTTTTCTTGTTAAAGAAATATTTGAATTTTTGACCAAAAATCTTGTTCGTTTTTTGTGGGTTTATCACATCTTGAGAGTAAAAAAAAGTGTAATATTTATACATATAATTTTGAATTTAAATATTAATTATACGTGTTTCATTTCACATACATATATGTGTATGCGTGAAGGTTTCTCCAAAAAAATAACAATTCAAAATAAATAGAGAAAGCTTTAAAAGCTACTTACATCTTGCAAATATGTGTACGATTATAACTAATTTTGTAGTGAAATTTTACTGTCATAATCAATAAGACATATACACGAGACAGGGGAGTAAAATGTGAGTGTTTTCATTGAAAATCAGTGACATGTTCACTGATCTCTGATGAAAACTTGTGTCGCTGCCTTGAATCAATGACGTTTTCACTGATTTATTTTAAGAGAATAAAGTTGATATTTACGTAACGATGTGACGATCACCAGAAGACCAGCAGATGCAACGAATAACGCAGTAGTTATGAGTCGTCGCTATTAAACATTTACAAGAGGTGTTCCACATGGATTTTTTTCTCTCTAAATTGTACAATATGATCTTGAAACTTGTACATACCGCCAGCTTACTACCTAAACTGACATACGACTCGCGTTACTATTAATATTAAAATAGAATGTGCATCGTATAACTATTTTTTGTTTATCTTTAGATATTAATAACAAAATAATAGAATTTTCTACCTTACAGGTTTTTGAATTTTCATTAATGTTTGCTAAAACGACAGAAGAGAATCATATAAATTCCTTGTAAAAAACATCAAAAGCATTATCTTTAAAGATATATAACTCTTTTGTAAAGACTATGTACTTGTAAAAGAAAATATATACGAGACATTTTTCATGTCTTTTGCTCGTCGAATTATTCAAGACCACGACAATGCTGACGCGAAGAATTTTTCACCATACATTTTATATACTCACCGTCGTTGCTCCATTTAATGACTCTGGGACGATCCTTATCCTGCCACGTTGCCAACATCGTGCCGTTATCATTGCATACCCTCACGCAATTTCGACTGCCGACGCCTATCATATCATTGCAGCTCCAATCGACCAGATCGATATTGTCACCTTCGATTATTAAAAGAAGAAGACTGTTGGATTAATAGTAAACTACATTTTAACTGACTCGAATCGATACCGCGATCTCGTACCTTCCGTAGAATCCGATATGCACAATATTTTATCTATGCTTTCTATCAAGGTTTTTTTGCGCGGCGTGCACTTCCAGTTTCCCACCTTCTTGAATCGCCGCGGATTCTGAGACTGCGTCGTTGAATTGCTATAGTGTAGAATCTTGGTTTGATTTAAACCTAAACAAGCATATCCATATAAACATCTTAATTTACGTTTAAAACGGAAAATGAAAAATGTTTTTTTCTACATGCATAAAACTTTGAAAAATTTCAAACAAGGATAACTTTTTTTTATAACTAGATCTTTTTCATTTAGAAAACAAAATAATAAATTATTGCGGTAATTTTTTACTTCTCTCTCTCTCTCTCTCTCTCTCTCTCTCTCTCTCTCTATTTATCCATCTTTATACATACTCTATATATATCTTATATACATATATATGTATTTATTATAATTTAAAGATTACCCGGTATGACAGCCTGTTCTGTCATCATCGCGTGGCAAGCTTCGCGTTGATGCGTAACATGCAGCAAATCAAGCTGGAAAGAATCAAAATGTGATTACTGTAATAATGGATAAGGGCCGTGGCACATAAAAAAACTTAAGCAGTAAGACTTAAGACGTAAGCGAATTGACCAATCACGGTCGAACAGTAAGGCAGCCATATTGAAACGTAAGCTACGCTGAAAATTCCGTATGGTTGAAATTCTTAAATCTTAAGTCTTACTGCTTAAGTTTTTCTATGTGCCACGACCCTAATATATTTTTTTAAACAGATAACGCGTTTCTCGTACCTGTTTATGAACGTCTATCGTAATGCTGCCCTCCGTGTCCTCGGATTCTTTCCTTAACAAACAGTGGGCCGCTTCGAAACTGTAACCGCGACGGCAAGGTATAAATCTGTCCCCCGAATAGGTTTGTCTCAGCATGGACGGATGCGCCCTGACTTTCGCATCATTCAAAGATTCCGAAAAGTTTTGTCTGCTATGTTCCTCATGATTCTCCGCGAGAGCCGCTTGAAGGGTAGACGCCAGAAACCATTTCCGTGGAATATTCTGAGTAAAATTTACGAACACGTTATACATACACAATATATGTATATCGTATCACTTTCTCTTTAAATTCGAGACGCGAAAAATGAGAGAGCGTGAATATAATTTTTATAATTATGATATATCGAAAAGATTTTTATGAACAAATTAAGCAGCGACAGGGTTTTCGTAGAGCGAGAGTGAAAGAGTCAGTGGCCCAAAATGATCTATAGATTTTCCATCATCTGGAAAAGAGAAAATGCATCGAATTTCCTGGATTTATTTTTACGCGTAGAAATAAGGACTGTAGAAGGGTGATTTTTATTTCGCGTATCGTTAAAAATCTGACATGATATTGCGGCTAATCAACAGCTTCATTGCTACGGTGAATGAGCGGGACGCACGGTGGGGCTCGATGCGACTTAGCTCGAACCGGTCAGCGAAACGCGACGCATGCGATGCGAAAACGCCAGGCCGCCGCCGCCGTTCGTGGGCTGTACCACCTGCGGCAAAACTCTACAGGGGATACTCCTCGAGGTAAGGGACGATATATTCTCAAGAGACTCGAGAAAGAGGTACAGCGATCTTAGTTGTCCTATCTAAATAGCGCTTTCCTCAACGATGTTATTATACGTGTTTATAACTCAACATATTCAGGAAATTCTATCTGCTTTTCTTTTTAAATAAAACAGATTTTAGTATATATATTCTAATCATTCCAAATGTATATGTACATATTTTTTCAAGTATATATAGTATATATATACACACACATATACATCGTGATATACAGGGTGTAACAGAGCGCCCGTATCAACAGTTTTTTGAGGAAACAACGCATTTTCGTGAAAAATGTTTCATGCAAAAGTTGTAGAGCTCTAAGTGGCGCATTATATAATAATATTAGTATGACCTTGAATAGCACCGTCAAGGTCACATAAAAATCACTTTGAATTTTTTAAATGGAACCCCCTATTTTTCATTACATATTCTTATAGCTTACTTCAAGAGCTTTCCAAAACACTATAATAAAGTATTTTTTCATTAAGTACTTTTTGAGTTATTTTATATTTTAATCTGACATATTTTGATATAAAAAATAAAATATTTCGTAAAATATTCAGTTTT